ATGCCTCATTCAATATTTATGAATGTATAGCAACAGTTTATGATGATCAGTTTTCTATCGCTCACTGCATCTGCTGAATTGAATCGTTATTGTAAAGATGAATTATCATACATTGATGATAGTCTAACATAATAACCAAAACTTTTAGAAGCCTGATGATTGAAGACAGTTGAATCGTACCTAAATAAATAACGAACACTGTTTGCATTTGAAATTTATAGTCCATAGCCTTTTATATAATCAATTATATATGCCTAAGTCAGTTCTGGGAAATACCATACTCTCTAACATGATGCCAACGACATATCCATCATATTTAGGGTCATCATTAATAGTTAGTTATTCACCTTTAACATAAAGAGCCCGTTCAACTATCGTAGTATGTGATAGAGCATTGTCCCTTTAAACTGTCACTATATATTCATAAATATTGGATGACAACTAGTCTGTCAGAACATAAAACTTTGCTAAAATTTTTGATTTTCCATCAGTGTCTATAAAGTGGTCTAAAATGTATTTCTATATTTTCATATATATGTTTAATCCAACTGAGCTTATGATGTCAATAGAGGAAGAACTGTATGAGCTACACACATGTTATAGTTGAAATACAGTACCAATTCTTATTGTTTTAAAATAAAGTCAGTTCGAGAACTTTTTGAACGCACGGAACATACACAAACATCTGTGTTGTTTAAAAAAGAATTGTTAACCGAAAACCACTTAAACAATAAATGTAAATACTTAGGGCATACCAATAGTAGTGATGCCATTATCTTATTTTCGTATAGGGAGCTTGAAGAAATTTTCTTTTTTTTATGTAATGATAGAGAAAATGATGCTTTATTTTTCTATGCTATTTGATTATACTTTAACTAATATCATAATAATAAATTTTCGATAAAATCTGTTTTTCTCTCAAATATGATGGCAATACCAATGTCTATTTGGTGAATATTTTTTGAATAACTTTTGATAGAAACAAGGGAGTGAGCTGTGGTTTTCATTTTTCGAAAGAGAAGATGAACATGAGTCAAACCGCATATTACATTTATTCCTAACATGTTGTTTGAAGTTTGCTTATTCAATTTTCTAAGTATGCAATACTGGTTTCTTATCAGAGAGAAAAAAAGTAAAACAGACTTGTTTTTTACAGAAATTGCTAGAAAAATCGCTTATAGCTTCGACTAGTATGCCTATAACTCTCGAATGATCAATTTTAAACATCTAAATCTTGTGCAAGTTTTTTTGGATCTTCGACTAGCGCAGGGATGAGCGAGTCCGAGTCAAAACTCGGACTCGAGTCACATTTTTTTACTGACTCGGACTCGACTCGGACTCGGATATCGGATGATCTTGACTCGACTGTGTGACTCGAGTCATTCACTCGAAAAAATTTTCATTTGCTTTTATAAAAAATCAAAATATATAGAACTAAATTTTTTCTGATTCGCAATTTTCATTCTAATGAAATATATGGCATTAGAACGTTCTCTTCAAAAGCTTTATTCCACTTATTTATCTGATCGTAAATCTTAGTCTACACATATTACAGGATGCATATATATGTATTGTCTCCTTCTGTTTTGTTTTGGATTATCTGTGAAGCGAAAAAAGACATTTGTATATGAGTAAGCATTTCTTTTTAAACACCAAAAACTTGAGCTTTAATCACTAAAACTGTCTAACTGTGGCATGANTTTTGTAGAGAATTTCAAGCGCTATCTTTTAGTATAAAAAGATGTCCCGATCTAATGGATAATAGAAGAGTTATACTCAAAATACGAATGGTATAATTTATTCTGGGACACCCGTTAGAATTAAATGTAAGCTCTGTTCCTAGGAACTCGAGAACATATGATAATTTGCCACCAAATGGAAGAGAATGTATATCTGAACACTTCAAAATGTTCGAAAGCATACAAAACCCAATTTGTTAGATATGTTAATATTTCCTGGAAATCGAATTCCAATCAATCCGAAGTTTAAAACTCTCATCTTTTCAATATCTAGAAACAACTCGTTTAATATCTTACGATTTATCGGAGCTTACTTGTTTTTTTCTTGCCATTGTGAATGGAGAACATTCTTTACCTTCTGTACTTATTTTAAATGATTTTTGCTTAGGCTTATATTTTTGAAATAAAATTTATTCTCGTTAAAATATTACTAACTAAAGATATATTTTGACATACTATTCTTTCGTTATTCAATTTCCTGTTAAAATTTTGTATTATACTTTTATAATTTCTTCATTAATCATATACTTTCGTTTCAACTACAATGAAATCTTTCACGATCGACTCACAAAAACTTTTAAGAACAAACTAATAACAAAAACAAAACATATATTCATGTTGTACATCAGATTTTCTACTACAATTATAAAACCTATTGTTTGAATAGAATAATATGTGAATATGCTTTTAGATGTTGATTATGATCATTAACTGTTTGAACATGGGGTGATGCTAATTTTTGAAATAAAAAGAAAAATATCGTTGTCTCTTCGTGGGTGAAGGTCCCTTTAACATTGTGTGAGAAGAAAGAGTAAATGTAAAAAAGACGAAGAAGAACCTCTTGTTCATATACATACCTGTTTTGTGTTAAAATGAATATGCGTATGACAAGGGTAATAGAAATGCAACGGAGCGTAAGATAGCAATGAGAAATGGACAAAAAAATGAATACATATCTATACTCTACGGTGAGCTTAACCTATAGTATAAGGAGATATATGGTGTTCATTGAACGTTTGATTATTCGTAGGACACTTATGATTAATTAAAGATCGACTAAACGATAACAACGGATAAATGCAATTCATAGGAATTTTACTTTTTTTTTATCAGGTTGTATTTGTTCATTGTATAAGATTAAAAAAGCATACAAAAAAAAACATAAAAATCGGATATTTAGATAGATGAATACTTTCATACCAATAATTGCATCGAAATACATTATGGATTTATAAATAAAATATAATTTTTATGATATCGATTGAGAAATATCAAAATTATGTTTAATAAAAACAATTCAAATAAAAATTTATTATCATTTCAATTCAATGAAACTTTTTTCAATTGATAATAAATATTTTCATTTTATCATAGATTATTTATTCTTTCTTTTAATATGAACACATGACAACAAAACAAAAGCAAATGATAATTTTCATAATGAACTAATAGATTAAGATTATCAAAAACAATTTTAAGAAAAAAGTTATTCTTATATTTAATCTTCTTATTAATACACTTTTGTTCTTTGCTAGAACTGATTTAACATCAAAAAGAATCTTTTATATCATCATACATATAATAAATAATAAATTTTAACAAGTCACTTCTATTTATAACACTCATTCATTCATTTTAATGATTAATATGACTAGACAGTAAATATATTTATAGTGGATATTATCAAGTGACTTCATAGTTTTGACACTAAAGAATATAATCAAAAGATGAAACAAGTTTTGTTCGTTGTAATAAAAACAAATAATGTCTGAAGATGTATAACGAAAATTGAGTTCTATTATATTAACATGTCAAAAAGTAAAAATAATAGTTGAAATTTATAACCTTGTCAAAACGTATCTGAAAATATTTCTCAGTGAATAAAAGTCCTTCGATGTACGTGAAAATGCATCGAAGGTAAATTCAATCAAATCAATGTATACAAAATCGATAATATAAATATACAATCTGTTACTATAATATGTAATCACATGTTGAATATTACATTAGCTTTTCTATAAAGTGCATAAATTACAATGTGTAAAATATCAATAATCAAGTATCTGAAGAAATGAACTTTTCTATACAAAACTTGAAGTATTAGGTTCATGTGGTTCGCATTTGTTATATATTACTGACAGGACCGAACAATATAAAGAAAGATTAATAACAAATCCCAATGTGAAGCATATGCATGATGACATGTCTATGTGAATAATATTCAACGTTAGTTTGAAATACTTTTAAATTGATACGTAATAGTTACGCAAAAGAAACTGTTCATATAATATAAACAAAATTGAAAGAAAAAAAAAAGTATTTTAACTGCAAATAGATGTTTTAATGATTATATAGAAACAAGAGAAAAGTTTTACTTAAATTAATTTTCTATTTATAGCTTTTACTTATATGATAATAAATCTTTAGTTTTTTATTATTTTATAATTGAATACATTTTTTTTATTCATATCAATATCTTAAAAACCTATGATACATCAATATTTATTCTCATAAAATGATAAAATTAATCTGGTGAACGATTGATACTACTACTTATTCATTATCGTGATGCAATAAAAGAAAGTCTTTCAAATATGACAATCTCCTTTTGCAGCAAGAAAACGTCATTAGATTGATCCATTTTATAAGAAAAATCCAAATAATAAATATTATATATATAGATATATATATATATATAAAGACAATTGTGTCAACGTCACATTTTGTTTTTTTTTTCAATTTATTTCATGTTATCAATAAATACATTACGTAATAGATTTTAAAATTATTCTATGTTTAACTTAAGTGTTAACTCAAATAAATTCTTCTCTCAACCGTAATAAAAACAAACGTTCCTATCGATTCAACAGTGCGGAAAACTAATTTTCAATAAATCTCTAGAGATTTTTGCTGTGGTGTATAAGCACAATATATCGTGAGTATCTGCCATGCAGAGACATCTAATGTCGTTCTGTCCTGTTGAATAGTAAACCTATCAAATAAGAAAACCTTAGCTTTTTTTTTCCTTCTTTAATCAAAATGGATGAGCGAGCGGTACTATTCGTTCGACGCTGACGAGCTCGCTCAATACTCGTTAGGAAAAACAGAACATACTATTTCTCTTGTCTGTTTAGATGCATAATTGATATTTTTACTGACAATATCCGGACTAAATATATTTGTTATCTTTTTCTTTCCTTTTTTTTTCGTAATCAATTAAGATTTTCTCGAAGATAAATAAAACGATGATTATAAATAACTATGAATAAACTATTTAAAACATTAATACAAAAGCGTGATGGTGGATCATCATCATCAACGACAATACCAACAGAAGGTGTAACATCAAATAATAATACTTCAACATCACCAGATATTCTTCTTACATTAACACATCTTCGAAAAGTTTTCTATGAATATCAACATCCTAAAATTCAATGGACACAACAAGATAAACATGATCGTCTATATTTAACATTACCAATGGTTATTAAAGTACTTAGTGTACTTACAAACAATGAATGGGAAGTACGTTTTCCTGAATTATCTGATTATACATTTACACTTGCTAAATTACTTGTTTATGAAATACGTATGCGTGCCGATAAAGAACCAAATCCATGTGCAGCAAGTCAAGCTATTATTGAATATCTTGAAATAAATGATGAAACAAATTCTTTATCAGGATGGTCATTACTTCGTGCACTTAAATTATTATCTACAGGACCTAATTTTATAATGGATAAATTTTCACAAGCATCATTACCAAGTACATTTGTTAAATGTTTATATTTATTTTTTGATTTACCTGAAATTTTAATAACACATTTAAATAATGATATTATATCACCAAAAGAAAAACGTATATTACTTGAACAAATATTTTTTCAAGTAAGATTTTAGATATTTATTAATTTACATAAAAAATACATTTACATATATATATATATATTGTTATTATTATTATTTAGCTATTATCACGTATTGCAATGTCAAATTCATGTGTTGATGAATTGACACGACGTGATGATCTTTTATTATTATTTAATGCAATATCAAGTAATTGTCCTGAACGAAATAAACCATGGAGAATACAAGCATCGGAAATGCTTATTTTAATTGGAAAACATTCATTGCAACCAGCTATTCAATGCATTCATAGTAAATAAATTAAAAAAAAAACAAACAAATTTTTAGTCTAAATATTAAAAATAAAAATTTATTTTATATAAAATAGATGCTCGATGTATATCTCAATGTGTGGATAATTTACGTCGAGCAACATGTGATTTATCATTAATGGATATAGCCCGTGTTTATGAAACATTAATATGTTTATTAATTGAATCAGCACCATTATCATCAAGTCTTATGGATGATTTTCGTCTTGCACATTGTTATGTTCATATGAAAGATATTGTTTTGAGGTAAATATGTCCACCAATCAGATTAAACCTTTTTCTTGTCATTCATAATTCTATTATGAAAACTTTCTCGGACGTGACTATTTTATTTAACGGAAAGAGAACCTAATCACAATAGAAAATAAATATATAAGGTTTTCTTTAAAAAACACAGCAATCAATAGAAAAAATTGTTTTCTTTTGTTTTTTTTTTCTTTCAATAGACTTGAAAATGAATGGATTAATGATGAATCGGAAAAATTTTTTGCACGGTTTATTACATTACTCGGTGATTTTACTTATGCAGGTCATAATGAGCTTAAATTACCTGGTCGACCTGAAACAATTATTGATATTCCAAATTTTATTATGCCACAACCTAAAAAAACCGGTAGAAATATTTCTTCTTATATTATAAATTCATTTTGTTTATTAAATTAGGTTTCATTGTTCGTAATATTTCTGCATTTACAATTCTTCAGTCGATTTTTCAACAAGTTTGCTATTTATTTATAAATTTATAATTATTATTCTTATAATTTTGTCTTTTGTTTTAGTCGACTCATCCACTTCTTATTAATATAGTATTCGATACAATAAGTAGTATTATATTAGCTGATAATGCAAATTATTTTCTTTGTGGTGAAAATCTTTCACCAATTACTGAAATTCTTTATCATAAACCCAATGATGTACAATTAAAAATTTATGATCTTTTGGAATTTATTGTATTTCAACTTAAATATATTCCACATAGAGAACTTGTTAATTTATCTATAATGCTCAAATCACAGAAGTATGTTAAAATTATTATTAAAATAATATGAATAATAAAATTATTATTTACACTTCGATTATTTTTTAAATCTATAGAATCAAGAGATTTCATAGTTGAGATAATTTCTATTATCGTAACGAATATCTATCAGGATAATTTCTTATAGTTGAATAAATCCTTTAGAATTTTGATAAGATTAACTTGAGAGTATTTTCTTTATTGATATGTCTATGAATCATGATTTTTTATTTAAATATAAATAAAATCGATTTTCTTTTTTTCTTCTACTTTTTCAGTTGTGTACAAAGTCATAAGAATTGTGTAAAATATCTAATACATATACTTAAATTTCATAATGTATTAAAAGATGCTCTTCGTGAATTGGGTTTTATTGAAGTACTTATCGCACGTTTACATCATTTTGCAACATTACTTAAAGAATCAATACAAGATCCAAATGGTAAAAAGACAAAAACAATAAATAAATATTTTTTTTATATTTCTTTTTAGATAAAGGTGATAATATGGATCCAGACGAAAAAGAATTAGGTTTCATGATTATGGAAGCATTAGCTTTACTTTTATCACATAATCAAAAAAATGCTAGTAAACAATTGTTCTATTATTTTTTGTCTATTTACATTAATAATATGTTTTATTGTTTTTTTCTTTTAAGAAATATTTCGAGAACACGGTGGTGCAAGACTTGCACATAATATTATTCCATATCGATTATGTCGAGTAGCAGCATTAACTGTTGTACTTCATCTTGTTTTGTGTACTGGAGGTGAAGATGATACAGGAACATTATTAGGACTTATACATACAGCAAAATTAGAAGAATTGGAGATGAAATCAGTTATTCTTAAAGTAATGTCTATTTCTTTTTTTGTTTTTTTTTTGACATAAAATATTTGTTAATTGTATAAATTTTTATTAAGGGATTTCTTTATATTCTTCGTGAAAGTCATCGAACTCGTACTGTCTTTCGAAAAGTTGGTGGCTTTGTCTATATTGTTTCATTATTAATCTCAATGGAAGGTTGTCTTGCTGTACCACCTAAAAATCCATGGGCAACAGGTAAATATTTTTTTTTACAAGATAAAGATTTTTAATCTATATATGTATGTATTTATTATTTTAAATGAAGTATCTCGTCATGAAATTTTATCTATTATTCGTCTTATACTTAATACATTAACTGTAGCAATGCGTTTTGAACCTGGCAATGCTCGTCTATTTGAAAATGAGGTATGTACATCAAAGAAAAAGTTAATTCATTATTCGATTTATTATTATTAAAGATTCTCTTTGATGTCAAAATAACCTGTTTTATTCTTAGTTTTAATATCAAAGAATATAATGTAGAAATTTGTTTTGTATAAAAAAATTGGAAGAGGTTCTTTAGTACATAACATGCAATGCAAAAGTAATGACACAAAATGTCGAGCTCTATTTCTTGTTGATAAAAGAATGCTGAGAGAAAAGTTTTTTTTTTTTTACCAAATAATAGAGCTTTTTTTCCTCTTTCGAATTGTATATAACTTATTTTTATAACATATTCATAAACGAAACAAAGCAATAGAACAGAAAAGCATCCTTAAAAACAATTTGTACTTTTTCTTGAAATTCAGAAAAACGACGCAAAATATTGTTTCTCATAATTCTTTGACAAACACATTTTGAAATGAATCTTTTATTTTTATATCAGCTGATAGGAAATTTTCTTCTCTTTCAATTAGAATACGATTTGTATTTGTCATATATTCGTAAATGAAATGACACGAGTATTTTGATTTTTGTGGATTTATTAAAAAGTTCTTGTGTACCGATGATTTTTTTTGATTTTTATAAAATCGTTAAAAATATCCTGTAAAATGATAGTTAATTATAATTAGCTATTATCTACAAGATGACATTGACGATTTCATATAAAAATTATGAAATGTTCTCTTTTTACTCGTCTCGATTCACTGATTAATGCGTGACAAAATATGAATCATACACTATTCGAAATAGGATAAAATTTTCTATCAATTAATAAAAAAATATTTTTTTCACGGCCTATTTATCGAAGAGATATAATGATCAACATTGTATGCAATCCTTTTATAGAAAAAAATGCATATTTTTTCTAAGCATGCTTCTCTTTTCTTTTGCATCGTTTTGTTTATGAACGTGTTATAAAAATAAATATTATATACGATTCGAAAGAAGAGAAAAAATTCTATTGTTTGGTAAAAAAAAAAGGTTTTTTTCAATACTATTTTTGTCGAATAAAAATAGAACTCGACATTTTTGTGTCATTACTTTTACACTGCATGTTATTTTACAAAATATAAAAAAATCTTTAAATTAGTTTGTTTCATTCATGATCTGAACATACATATTGATGAAGAATTTAGGATGTTAAGACTTAGTAACATAAACTATTTGATCTGGTTAAAAAGAAAAAAAAATATCGGAAATATTTGTGAAATAAAAGAACATGCAATATATTGATCAATGAACCCTTTAGCCCTTTTCGGCACTAATCCAGTAGAATTAGTTTTGAATCAACCACAAGAATAACTTATGCAGATGTTGATTATGACATTGATATAGTTAAAATCGGTCTAAGTCATTTCACTGTATGGACGATAAATCGAATGACATAAAAATTGAATTTATTATTAATTTGATTAATTTTTTTTTTTTTCTCATTTATATTGTTATTTTATCTGTCTAAAGCTAGAAATCTAGTTATCATGAACTAATTTTTACAGAATGAGTCATTTCAAAAGAAAATCAATGATTAAAATTGTATAGAAATATATTCATTTTTTAAAAAATATCTCTTATGAAATATTTTACGACAAGATAAAAAAAAATAAAGTTTCGTTTTTGTTTCGCTTAGGTTCGTTGGCAAAGTTTATCTGATGCTATTAAATTACTTGGTTGTTTTACAAATGAAACTCGTCTTACTGACAGTGTAATATTATCAAAATTTGATTATGCACCAAAACATAATTATGAAATATTCGAACAATTATTTTATTCACTCGATGAACGTATTATGTCATCAACAGATTTACCTCTTGAACTGGTTAATGCGTGTCATATAGCACGATGTTTTCATGATATTGCACTTGATTGTATTGATAAGTAAGTTATCTTAATATTCATTTTATATATATCTATATAATTATTCAGTTATTCGAAATTTGCTGACGATTTTACCACTGACAACATTTCTCAGTAAGCGCATGAGAAATGAGTTTAATAATAGCAAAAAACATAATAATAACGGGGAATGAAATTAATTGCATGTATTAAATTAAAGTCCTTTTGTGTGTGTGTTTTTTATTTGAATATTTTTATTGATTTCTTTTGTTTTTTTTTTTTCTTTCTTTCTTGTCTATCAAGATCATTTGTAAATCCAAATTTAAAATATGAACCAATCAAACATGGAACATCCATAGATAATAGTGATGACCCAGCACCTAGTCCAGTGTTTCGATCGAATACACTTAATATGTCATCAACAACACGAACATCAGCAACATTTACATTTCCATCTTATATGGATGAACCTATTATTGTTTATCCTGGTGCTGTTGTCTGTTTTCTGCAAATTATTTCTTGTATACCACGTACGGCGGATGAGCAGGTAAAAAATAAAATAAGACGAAAAAAAAAAATTCATTTGTTTCGTTTATTATTATTAGTATTCAAATCGTTTACAATATTTTTTAATGTTAACATTAAAAAATTTACTTAAATATGATCGTAATTTACAAATAATGGCTACATATGGATTTTCTCAACATATTTTATATATATGTGAAATTGCATTACAAAATGAAAATCATCATTTACATACATCTGTAGAATATATATTTGAACGATTAGCTACTTTTATTTTACCCGTACGAACATTAAGGTAATAAAAAGATAGAATAAAGATTTATAGGATGGGTCATAAATAGCACTATAATAATAAAAAGAAAACAAAAGGAAAATATATCCGCGTCGGTTCAATTAAATAGGCTGATTATTATTTTTTTTCCGGGGGTGGAGGGGGGTGGGGGTTTAATGATAAAAGTTTTGTTTTTCATACGAATACGATAAGCAAATACTTCTATAAATGGGTATCATGAAGGTGATTCAATCTATTATCAAGTAAAGACAGAAGAAAAAGAATATATCTGATTTTCAGTCACCTTGCGATTAAGATGTAATCACTCGAAAATTTTCGAAGAAAGCTTTTAGATCGATAAAAAATGAACGGTTTGATGAATCATTATTAATTGGTTAATGGAAATGGGTTCAAAAAAACATCCATTTTTTTTTCTGCACTGAGGCTTTTACAAATTTTCCGGAAGAAATATCATGTTATAGTTGTTTATATGCGTGTTACCTTTCTCTAAGATAAATATTTCATTAAGCTTTTTCAGACAAGTCTAATGTTACTCTTTGAACGATGATTCAAATCTGAATTTGATCTTTATCAAAAGATATTTGATATAGGTTCACCTCAAATAACACAGTTTTGATGGTGCCTTTTAAAAAATGAAATATATTTCGATTAAAGAAATAAAACAATGTAGACGAACAGACATAAATAAAATTGATCGTTTTTGAAATAACACTGTTTGATTATTTTGATAAGAGCAAGCAAATTTTATTAGAGAAAAATGACATATTTATAAGATATTTTCCAACCGATGAAGATCAACCAGAACAGTTACAACTGCGCCTTACGGTACATAGGATACTGCCTAATGGGAGATTTATTAGCTAAATATATTTTCTGCAACTGATACTAGCTGTAGCTCTGGACAGAAGACCGATCTGACACCGAATTCTTACACTCTATTGCTTGAACTCGACGTACGCACTGATTAACTCCATATTAGTCACGAGGGCAAGTGTATGTCACAATGTACTCAACAAGCTATCGTACGGGTGATGCGAGACAAGCAGCAATTAGTCACTTATACAAGGTCATTCTAGGACTGATGGTACCAAATCTTGAACATCTTAAGTATTGAATATATGCCGACCGGAAATAACATTCAGAATTACTTAATTTGAAAGTTAACAGTTAGAAACTTCCCAATTTTCAAAATATAAAACACTGATTTTTGCTAGAATTTGATGATTCATACTTGACATTAGGTGAACTTCAATATATATTTATTTAAGTTATCCGTAAAAGAAAAAACTTTAAATTAACTTCTTGCACTAACCAAAAATCCGTCCATTCGAACAAACTGAAGCGGAGATTTTTATCGTAGTGATATTTATAGTTTATACTGTATAATACATAAACATTTATTTCTTATTCATTTATCTTTTAAGACAATTTCTTCGTATGGGTATTGATTCAATAATGAGTCCAACACTTTATATGACTTCTTCAAAAGATGCTAGTTTAATAAATAAACCATTTGTACCATTAAATCGAATAAAATGTCTTGTTTCAATGACAACATTGCGTGATATTCGACGTGAAACGCAAACTTTATTATCATCGAATTCTCCAACAGGAATATTATCAAATACATCTTCAATGGTATTTCCATCATTTGTTGAATTTAATATGGGTATTGAAGGTTTTGGTGCTTTATTATTACCATGTATAAGTCCACAATCTATTTCATCATCAAGTAATGTTGTTGGTAATTTTGGTATGGTTGCAATGACAAATGAAATCGTATTACAAGGTGGTATGACATTAACAAATGGTGGTGAAAGACCATTTCCACCACAATATGGAATGACTTATTCAACATGGTTTTATGTTGAAAAATTTGGTCCTATTAAAGATAATATACATCCAATACGTCTTTTAACTATTATACGACATACATTTAATCGTGAAGATTATCGATTTGTTTTACAAATTTATATACATCCAAAAGATAAATCTTTATTAGTATCAACACAAGAACATCCATTTCAAGGTAATAAAAATTCATAGTTTTTATTTTTGATTATGTATGATATTTTTTATGGATATGCTCGGAAATTTAATTAAGTACCAAAATAGAAGATATNGATCCAAGCATTTTCAAGTGATGAAATCAGATCATATAACACAATCAGGGTATATTAAAGTTATAATAATTCTTAGAAAATGATTTTTTTATAGTGCATTACAAAAGGAGGCTCACTTCAGACGAAAATTGGGTCGTAAAATTTACCATAATTTACCTGACACAAACTTCATCCAAGTAGAAACACATGAAGAAGGTGCAGGTGCATAAGCAGCCATTGCAACAACTACAGGTTCATCAGCTACAAGTACAACAACAACACATCCATCAGCTACACGTGCAACAACAACAAGTCCATCAGCTACACGTGTAGCAACAACAGATCCATCATCTACAAGTGACGATCATCCAATCGTGTCACCAACAGCATTCCTTGATGAAGGTGTTACGAATCTTGATGAGTATTGTTAGCGGGTTCACCTCCTTGTTGTTACTTTTCTATGTTATTTCTTTTTTTTCCTCTTTTCTTTCTCTTTCTCGTTGTTAGATCTCTTCTGATGTTATATAACCTTGATCACTCTTTATTATTTGTCCTTAAGTTTGACCCTTGATCTAGGTAGCCGATATATATACATATATATATTCTTTTTTTTCTTTACAAGGGCAGATATAGCTGTGTTACTGTACGTGTATGTGGGGACATTTTTGATTTTGAATTAAAATGAAGAAGGTCGAACATCAGACCTCTAATAAGTATGTATAGGAAAAGACAAGTATCGATAAGACCATCTTTTGCCCAAAATACAGGATGGTCCAAAAGTCACTTTACCAAAAAAAAATTGAATATCTTTACTACAGCTCGAGCGAATGAGCTGGTTTTTTATCAATGACAGAGGCTTGTTTAAGTTTTGTATCCATAAAGAGATGTCTAGAGAGTCCCTTTGCTAAGTACATGGTGTTTTTTTCCTATCTGTGAAAAAGTAGAATTTTTTGTTGAGGTCAATAATGATACGTAACAAAGGGTCTCTCTAGGCATGTCTTTATAGATATAAATCTTGAATATGCTTCTATCCTTGACAAAAAAATTAGCTCATTTGCTCGAGCTGTAATTCATTTGTTCTATTTTTTTAGATATGATCGCGATCGTAAACGTACAATGAGTACACCCTCACCCAATGATCGTAAATGTACAATGAGTAAACCCTCATCCTGAAATTAATTTTTTTCATTATTTTTGAAAAAGAAAAAAAATTAAAAAGAAGTATTTTTGTAACATCATTAGTCATTTGACTTATAATTTAGATTAAAAGTTTTTTATGAATATCAACATCCGAAAATTCAATAGATACAACAAGATAAAAATGATCGTCTTTATTCAACATTACCAATGATTATTAAAGTTCTTAGTGTACTTTCAAATAATGAATGGGAAGAATATTTTCCTGAATTATCTGAATATACATTAGCTAAATTACTTGTCTATGAAATACATCTATGTGCTGATAAAGAAATTTAATCCAAGTGCAGCAAGTCAAGCTATTATTGAATATCTGGAAATCAATGATGATATGAATTCTTTATCAGGATGGGCATTACTTCGTTCAATTAAATTACTATTAACAGGACCTAATTTAATTATGGATGAATTTGCTCAAACATCATTTACCAAGTACATCTGCTAAATATTTATATTTATTTTTTGATTTACCGGAAGTTTCAACAACAAATCATTCAAATAATGATACTATATCACCTAAAGAAAAACGTATATCACTTCAACAAATTTTTTTTTCAAGTAAGATGTACAAAAAAGAACAAAGATATTTTAAATATTTCTATTATTATTTAGCTTTTATCTCGTATTACAATGTCTAATTCATGTGTTGAAGAATTAACTCGTTGTGATGATCTTTTATTATTACTCAATGCAATATCAAGTAATTGTTCTGAACGAAATCAACCATGGAGAAAATAAGCATCTGATATACTTATTCTAATTGGAAAACATACATTACCATCAGCTATTCAATGCATTCATAGTAAATGAAATTCTTTTTCGAATAATCAAAACAAAAAAACTCCACAAATCTTGTTTTGTATTGAATAGATGCTCGATGTATATCTCAATGTGTGAATAATTTACGTCAAGAAACATGGGATCTATCATCAGTAGATATGGCACATGTTTATGAAACATTAATATGTTTATTAATCGAATCAGCATCATTATCACCTAGTCTTATGAATGATTTTCGTCTTGCACATTGTTATGTTCATATGAAAGATATTATTTTGAGGTAAATATGTCAACCAATCAAATTGGACTTATTTCTCGTTATTTATAATATTATTAGTAAAGCTTTTTTTCGGACTTGACTATCATATTTAGCGGAAAAATCCTAATCACAATAGAATATCTAAAATAGTTCTTTCTGTTCTTAAAAAGATTGATTAATAAAAAACGAAATTGAATTTTTGTTTTCTTTCAATAGACTGGAAAATGAATGGATTAATGATGAATCTGAAAAATTATTTGCAGGTTTTATTACATTACTCGGGGATTTTACTTATGCAGGTTATCATGAACTTAAATTACCTGCTAGACCTGAAACAATTTTTGATATTCCAAATTTTGTTATGCCACAATCGAAAAACACCGGTAGAAAAAAAAACTTCTTCTAACCTTAAAAATTAATTAATTTCATTAAATTAGGGTTTTATTGTTCGTAATCTTTCTGCATTTACAATTCTCCAATCTATTTTTCAACAGGTTTGTCATAAGTTCATTGATTTATTATTATCTGTTTCTTTTTTTTTTGTTTTATTAGTCAACTCATCCATTTCTTGTTAATATTGTATTTGATACAATCAGTGGTATTATATTAGCCCGACAATGCAAATTGTTTTCTTTGTGGTGAAAATCTTTCACCAAGTATTGAAACTTTTTATAATAAACCAAATGATGTTCAAACAAAAATTTATGATCTTTTGGAATTTATTGTATTTCAACTTAAATATATTCCACATAGAGAACTTGTTAATTTATCTATTATGCTTAAATCAAATAAGTATGTTGAAGTTTATATATCTAAAATCTTACAGTTGAAATATTCTTTTTTTTGTTAAATACCTTTGATAATATTTTTTACGAACGAATGGATTTTGTATGGTTTTAATTGAAGAACATTTCTCTATTGATGTTTTTTCTTTAGTTCTATACAAAGTCACAAAAATTATGTCAAATATTTAATCCATATACTTAAATTGAATAATATATTAAAAGATGCTCTTCGTGAATTGGGTTTTATTGAAGTACTTATCACACGTTTACATCATTTTGCAATGTTACTTAAAGAATCAGTACAAGATCTAAATGGTAACATATAAGAATATTTTATTTTATCTTGTAATTAAATATTTTCTATTTAGATAAAGGTGATAATATGAATCAAGAAGAAAAAGAATTAGGTTTTATGGTTGTGGAAGCATTAGCTTTACTTTTATCACATAATCAAAAAAATGCTAGTAAATATATGAATGTTTTGATTTAATAGATTTTTTAAGGAAAATAAATTTCTCTTTAGAAATCTTTCGAGAACATGATGGTGCAAGACTTGCACGTAATATAATTCCATATCGATTATGTCGAGTAGCAGCTTTAACTGTTGTACTTCATTTAGTTCTATGTACTGGAGGTGAAGATGATACAGGAGCATTATTAGGTCTTATTCATACAGCAAAATTAGAAAAATTAGAAATGAAATCAGTTATTCTTAAAGTAGTTTTTTATAAAATAAAATTTGTTTTATTAATTATAAAATCTCTCTTTGTATCAAGGGATTTCTTTATATTCTGTGAGAAAGTCATCGAACTCGTACTGTCTTTCGAAAAGTCGGCGGTTTTGTGTATATTGTTTCATTATTAATATCAATGGAAGGTTGCCTAGCTGTACCATCCAAATATCCATGGACAACAGGTAGAATTTTTATGCGACAAAGATTTATCATATATTTCTTTTCAATTCAGTATTTCGTCATGAAATTCTATCGACTATTTGTCTTATGCTCAATACATTAACAGTAGCAATGCGTTTTGAACCTGGCAATGCTCGTCTATTTGAAAATGAGGTACGTTCTTCACTTTATTTTTACAACTATCCTAATTTTCTTAGTCTTACATATTTCTATTCCAAAACAAATACACTTTCGCAAACTTTGACTCGGAATCAATCTTCTTTATTCAACAAATCTATTGACATTTTTTATTATTTCTAATTCCATATAAAAATCAAAATAAACATCTTATTCATTGATAGGTTCGTTGGCAAAAGCTTATGTGATGTTATTAAATTACTCAGTTGTTTTACTAATGAAATACGTCTTACCGATAGTAGCACATCATCAAAATTTGATTATTCATCAAAACATAATTATGATATATTTGAACAATTATTTTATTCACTTGATAAACGTATTGTGTATCATCAACAGATTTACCTCTTGAACTTATCAATGCTTGTCATATAGCACGATGTTTTCATGATATAGCTCTTGATTGTGTTGATAAGTAAGTACGAACAATAATCTATTGATATTTCTTTATATAATCATTCAAGTTATTCGAATTTTGCTGACGATTTTACTATTGACAAAATTTTTCAGTAAGCGCATGAGAGATGAATTATAGAAGAAAAAAAGAACGAGGAATGAGGTTAATTGCATGTTTTATGTTTGAAAAAAATCAAGCAAAAAAAATTCTGTTTTCTTTTGTTTTTCGAATATTTTATTGAATATTTTCTTTTTCTATCAAGATCATTAATCAATCCAGTATCAAAAAATGAACCAGTCAAATCTGGAACATCAATTGATAATACTGAAGAGTCAGTCAGTAGTCCACTTTTTCGTATCGGTACATTTAGTATGCCAACAACAACACGAACATCAGCAACATTTACATTTCCATCTTATATGGAAAAACCAATAATTGTTTATCCTGGTGCTATTGTTTGTTTTCTACAAATTATTGCTTGTATACCACGAATGATTGATGAACAGATAAGAACAAAAACATAAGATAAATAATTTATTACTTAATTCTTTATATTAGTATTCGAATCGTTTACAATATTTTTTAATGTTAACATTAAAAAATTTACTTAAATATAATCGTAATTTACAAATTATGACTACATATGGATTTTCTCAACATATTTTATATATATGTGAAACAGCACTTCAAAATGAAAATCATCATTTACATACATCGGTTGAATATATTTTTGAAAGATTAGCTGCTTCTATTTTACCAGTACGAACATTCAAGTAAACATAAATTTAAAAAAATTCATTTATTAAATGTTAATTATTTCTTTTTTTTTTGAAAGACAATTTCTCCGTATGGGTATTGAGACAATAGTTAGTCCGACGTTATTAATAACTCCTTCAAAAGAAATTAAATCATTTGTACCATTAAATCGAATAAAATGTCTTATTTCAATGACAACATTACGTGATATTCGTTGCGAAACTCAAGTTCTAACAACATCAAATTCTCCAACAGGAATTTCATCAAATATTCCTTCAATAATATTTCCACCATTTGTTGAATGTAATATGGGTATTGAAGGTTTTGGTGCACTATTATTTCCATGTTTAAGTCCTCAATCAATAACATCATCAACAAATGTTGTTGGTAATTTTGGTATGGTAACAATGGCAAATGATATTATTTTACAAGGTGGAATGACATTAACAAATGGTGGTGAACGACCATTTCCACCACAATACGGAATGACTTATTCAACATGGTTTTATGTAGAAAAATTTGGTCCTATTAAAGATAATGCTCATCTAATACGTCTTTTAACTATTATTCGACATACATTTAATCGTGAAGATTATCGATTTGTTTTACAAGTTTATATACATCCAAAAGATAAGTCTTTATTAGTATCAACACAAGAACATCCATTTCAAGGTAAGAAAAGAAAAATTTTAATATTTTGTTTTCGGTTTTTGATGAAATCAAATGTATATCTTTTAGATTGTCATAATGATGCAATATTTACAGATGATATTAAATCAGATGGTTTAGTGAAATTTATATGTTCAGAAATGATGTTTGACCAAAGATGGACACATACAACATTAGTTTGGGCAAAAGGAATACTCAGAAATAGTGCTGTTACATTATATGTCAATGGAAAACAAATTGCTGTTCAAAAAGTAAACTGATATTTTGAAGAACTATTTGAATAAAAATTCTTTTTCTATAGCTTCATTATATAAATAATATAACTGTTCCACCTGGAAATAGTGTATCGATATTTGCTTATATTGGTACATTATCAATTCAACGTGTATATTCAAGTATACAATGGCGTCAAGGTCCATGTTTTCTTATTGAAGAACTTCTTTACTCACAAATTATTGCAGCTATGTATGGAGCTCGTCCGAATTATATTGGTCCATTTCAAGCTGTTTGTATTGGTATATGAAACATTTTGAAGATCAAGTTTGCTTTTGTAAATGGGGATTTTATGCTTTTAGATTCAACAAATGATGTATTTTCACCATTATTTCCTAAAGAGAGAATTGTATTTGGTATACATCCAGCTAGGTTTTTTGACACAACTTTATCACAATTTAAAAAACATTATAATAAAAATGATGCGAAATTAATTGCTAAACAGGTATTCATTTATTTAAGATATGAGTTTAATTAGTTATAATCTTTATATGGAAAAATATTTCAATTTGAGACATATATAAGAAAATGGATTAGTCAAGCTGAGTGAATCGATACAGAATATGCAATCCTTACACGAGCCAATATTATTGAGAAATCTTTTTCAAATAGTTCATTTAGAAGTTTGGAGTAATTAATTTCGAATAAAACATGACGTTATTGTAATAAAGGAAGCAATAAAATATTATTTGTTTATAATTGATGACACTTGAATTATCTATCATTTCAATGAGTGTTATAAATTTACATCGCCTTCTTTATGACGTTTTATTTACTTTGTTAAAGGTTTGAATCAATTTCAGCTTAGCTTGTTCGTCATTCATTATAAACTTCTATAGATATCCTAAGAGTTCGCTTATATGCAACTCATAGTTAAAAATATACATATTCACTACAAATCTCTAGCATTCCAAACTAAAATTAAAGTTTTCTAACATCAATTTGTTGCCTATTGATATTAATTTTTGATATATGTGTTTATATTTATTTAGTTGAATATGCCAACAAATGAATCAACAGTACCTATTCGGATTTTACACAAAATTGCAGCACTATATAGTGGTCCTGCTCGAACAATTGATAGTGTAGTGATTGGTTATTTAGGTAAATATAATGATTCAAGAAATTTTTAAAACACTTTATGATAATCGTGATATTTCAAACTTTAAGGGAACCCTCTCTATGTCCTAACTGAAAATTTTTGTTTTTTCCTGCTTCATATACGTTTCAAAGTGTCCTATGTCGCTGGATGTGTTTTTGAGAATAAGTATAAAAGTCAAAAAAAATCGGTAAAGATGGAATATTTTCACTGAGAAATGTGAAAATTTCCACATTAGTTCGTTGTTTTTGATAAGAAAATGTAGCGAATCGTCTTGATTCTTCAGTCCAATACCTTCGATCCAATGAAAGCCTTTTTTTTTTACTAATATGTGTTTTAGGGTGTCTACTTCTTTTTTGTTTTAAAATATGATGTATCGCTAGAGTTTTCGAAAAAAGTTCTAGTGAGAGCGAAAAGGATATCTATGTATGTTTGATGGTGCTCTTAAGATTTTTGTGATGACCCTGGTATCTTCTACAGAGAAGCATCCGACAATTGTTTTTGATCCTGTACTTTTTAATTTCTATTGATAGGTGTTCGTATATTTGTTCCAAATCCAGTATCAAAAACAATTGAATATATTGATGGTCCACATGTAATGCTTGGTTTAATTACAATGCCAAATGATATTGAATCATTTTATGCATCAGTTACAGCTTTTGTTTGTATACTTAAAGCGAATAAACAAATGCAAAATGAATTATTAAGAACAAGAGCATATCAAGTAGGCATTTCAGATTCTAGTTTTTTGTTTTCATTAAAAATATTATTATTTAGATTCTTGGTCTTTTATTTCTAAAAAAACGGCATCTTATCAATAGTCATATATTACATTTAACATGTACACTTGTTGGTACAATTGATACAATACGTGAATCAACAGTTATAACAAATCCAGCAGGTTTTTGAACATCTATTATATGAATTCGAAGTAAAAATATATTTCCAATAAAATTTTTTCTTTATTCTTTGACTTAAATAGATTTGGAAAGATGCTAATGTTGATATACAAAAATCTTTATTTGATCATTTACTTGATGTGTTCTTAACAAGGTAAGAAAAAGCCAAGATTTTTATCATACAAATCTTTTTTGTTTGGGTTTAGTGATCCACACAATTTAATGATGAATCAAAGATTAGCACAAAAAATTAATTTAATGTCACAGTTATTATGTTTACTTAAAGATGGTTCATTACATGAATCAACACGTTTAATTATTATTATTAGTCTTATTCATGTTCTACTTGTGACATATAAAAATACAAATGATATATTAAAGTATAAAATTTTGTTTTCTTATTCGAAATTCTTTTCTATTATATTTATTTAGACTTGGCCAATTTCTTGTTTATCTTCTTCTATCAAGTTCAATATCAGGAAAAAACGTTATTATTAATGGACGTAAGAATTTGAAAATTTGTTGAATTTATTTTCATTTATTTTTTTTTCTATAATGTTTTAGCTCTGGATGATTCATCAATTATCATCATCAAATGCATTGACTCGTTTTCATGATAATGCTATGTTATTAGTTAATCCAACAATTCCAAGTAATAGATCATTAACATCAACAACAACAACAATTAGATTTGCTATTCCATCACCAGTATTAAATACAACAAATACAACACCATTATCACCTTTAACAACAATTAATAAAAGTTGGATTAATGTTTTTAATGATCGACCACCAGCAAAACCGACGTTTGCATTGGGTATTGATCCAACATTAGCACTTGGAAGTAATACAAATGTATCAACACCTTTACCTGGTTTTGTTCTTTTACAATATGTATTTGCTCAACGAGCAGAAATTATACCAATTTATTATCAATTAACAGCACTTCTTTTTCGACAAATGCCTTCCGATGATATGATGGAACAAACAGAGGTTAGCAAGTCTATAATCATTTCTATAATTGAATAATTATATTTGTTAATGTCTATCGAACAGTGAAATATATAGTTTTAAAAATGCGATTGCTGTCCAAGGAGTTAAGAACGTTAAAATGATATTTTCATAGGTTCGCGTTATAGGGACTATGCAGAAGTCAATCATGAGCTGATATGCACTGCCTATTTCCGAGGAATTCATAATGCTTTTTTGTCAGATAAATATTTGAAAAGTTATCATATCTGAGATGATTATCTCCTGAAGTTTAAAGAGTCGTTTTTAGAAAATAAAAACCTCAGATCATTCATTCCTTCTATTATTGGAGAAATGCTTATCGTCATTATATTTGTAGACATTCAGTAAATAATTTTTGAATAATATTCGATTGGTTAACGCTATCAAACTCAGAGTTTCGCTACTGGAAAGAGCGAGCTCCAAGGCGTGCATCTGTTTAATATTAATTCGATTCAAAAACGTTTTTCTTTTTCATACCTGCTTTTATATCAAAATAGCTCACTTAACTCCGAAATTGACATTAGCAAGGATGGGTTAAATGAATTTCGATCTGAGCCCAAATTCTTCCCATTAACTTCCCTAAAAACTGGAAGTTCATGAAAAGTTGGCACAGTCCATAGTGCTCAGTAGCATGGATTTCCTTTAAAACGTAATGCTCGGCAAGGCGGCCTCCTCTCGCAGGATCAGTCAAGAGAGCAAACTAAAGAAGATACATCAAGAAAACACAAGATTTTTCATTTCTAATTAAAAATTTTCGCTTTTCTCTTATCCATCAAAAGAAAGAATAGCTTTGCAAAACTTTCTCAGTCGACAGGATGATCTAATAAGCAGTTTTCCCACATGAACACTCTGTTATATTACAATAAAAAGAATTTCGAAATAATTTTATTTTTCTTCTTTATCTTACTGTTGAAAAATTATTAAAATCAGTAAATCTTTATACACTAGTTGCTGCTACTCTTTCGGCTCCAAATGTATCTGGATCAAAATAACAATCATCAAGTCAACAACAATATGAATTAGATGCTTGTCCTATTCTTCTATCAATGATTCGAAATTTGACTATACAAGTAAAATTCAAGTCTTAACTGAATTTATCTATAAATTCAATTTAAGATCCGGAATTCGCTGTACAAAATGGTTTAGCTGTATTGAAATTTTTTCATCAATTATATCGTCGAAAAACAAAATTTTTTAATTATGCTCAAACAGTTGAATATCTTTCATTTTTATGTGGTATTGTTTTTCCTACAGTAATTGTAAGTCAAATAAACTTCTCATCAAATAATCTCTTTCTATGTTATCTTTATCTACTAGCTAAATCAAACATCTTTCGATTCACCAAATACTATTATTCGTCAGGTAAAACACATGAAATTCTTTTTCAAAAAAAAAAGAAACTCTTCATTTTTGTTTTTATTTTAAAGAAAAGTATTAGGAATGAAGAACCTGTTTCACTAAGTAGTCAGCTTGATTCTCTTATAAGTAAAACTCTATTATTTATTGAAGTTATTTGATTATCTTTTGCTTTTAGCTGCATTTACATCAAATACAACGTTACGTGGAACAATAGTTGATATTATCCAAGATATAACTATCGATAGTCTCTAGGCAAATACAGCACGTATACCAAATGTTATTGATTATTTTCTTTCTGTATATAAAGTAAAATAAAACTTAATAGATAATTTAAGTAAAATATTTTTTTGTTAGGCTCTTCCTGAAAATATGAATTGTGATTTAACTTATCAAATATTTGTTCAATATGTATTTAAATCAATAATAGAATATTTAGGAACATCAGAATTATGTCCATTAAGTTCAACTGATGATCAAACTAATGCACTGCCTTTTGAACTTGGTGAACAATCAGGACGAACAACATATTCACATGCATTTTCAAGTATAATATCAAATACTTCATCAACAAATTTCAATATGTCATTATATAAATTATTACTTAAAAATGTGACACATTTTATTGAACGTATTGTTGATAAAATTTGGGAAATTGATTATCGTGAACCGAAACAAATATTTGAATTTATTATTAAAATTCTAAATCAAGCAAAAAAAACGTGGTGCAAATACATTTATGGATACACTTTTTCATTCATTAAATCGAACAATATTATTTGAATTATCAAGAAAAATTGATTCAATTGGAGGTAAAAGAAAAGAAAGAATTATTTAACAAAAAAAAAAAACAAAGACGTCTATTGAAATTTTTAGATCAAATGATTGTACTTGATGCACTTCATCGTTTAGCTAATAATCGACAATTAATTTTTTCGGATTTAAATCAAGATGCAGAATTTTTTGGTTGTCTTTGTTATTGTTTAATTATTTTAATTGATGAAACAGGAACAAAACAACCAACGTAAAATAATAAAAACAAAACGTTAATCTTTAAAATTAAAATTTCTAATTGATTTAGTGAGAATCAACCTTCACGATCAACTTGGTATCATCGTGTTGAAAGTCCAACATCACCTATTCAATCAAATAAAACTTTAATTATTAATGCAGCGCAACGTATTTGGTCGGAATTATATATGAAAAAGAAACTTGTATGAAAGATAAAAATTTTTGTTAAGAAATTCTTTTTTTTTTGTTTTTTATGGGCATTAGAAGAAGTATTGAAAATGAGTTTTTCACAATTAGCTACACAAAATAAAACAACATTAGTTGATGTTAGGTAAATAAATGTCAATGAAGAAAAATATTTGATTGGAGCTTTTGGTTTTTAGTGATTCTTTATTTGAACCAGCAACAAAAGTTTGAACAAGATTTGTTGAAGGAGAATTAAGAATAACGGACAAAATTCAACAACAAATTATGCATGTTGGTTCGGTATGTATTCAAATAAAAAAAAATTCTGACTTATGGAGTTTTATATCTTCGAGCCTGTATAAAAACTATCGTGCCAACTTCAATGGAAATATGAAGTTCAAAAACCACTATTGTCATCCTGTAGACCCTAGTAAAAAGCGAGTGAAACTTCCCAAACTGTCGGCTGCTATAGATCGTTTTTTCCTATGCGGAACATATTCGCAGAAAAATAAGCAACAAACACATCACCCTCAACTTTTCGTCATCGCGTTTCGCTTTTTTTACTATTACTGAGTTTAGATAAATATGTTGTATTTTTAGCGTATTCAACGATTGACTGGTGGAGTGACAGGTGGCTTTCGATCAAGTCTTCATCAACTTCGAGGAACAAAAGTAAAACGTGAACAAATTAAATTAGATCGAGCAACAATTCATGTAAAAACGAAGTTCTTCTCTCAAAAAATTTTTTTATTATTTTTTTTTTTTGCCTATTTAAAGAGTGCTTTGGCTTTAATGTCTGTTAATGTTTCAAGCGTTAAAGAAAATGTTGTCAATGAATATTGTCGATTAGCACAAGTATAAAAATTTTCTTATGATAAAATAATTTTTCCTAAAAACTTTCTTTTTCTTAAGAATTCCGAACAAAAATTTAGTTATTTATATGAAGAATGGTTTGCTATTGAACGTGATCTATTCCGTGAACGGAGTTTATGGGGATTTGAGGAACCTGATCCATTAGCAAAATATAAACTTGATTTTATTGAAGGACCATGTCGTATGCGTAAACGAATGGTATTAAATGAAGATTTTTATAGACATTATCCATATCGTGTTCCAGTTGAATAAATGGTAAAGAAATTCTTATATTATTCAATCTTTTAGAATAAATCTCTTTTGATTACGAAAAAATCCTAATCGCTACAGACATATTGAAGTTCGCCTTTGTGCGCACTATTTTTTCTATTTCTACAAAAGCAGCCTCGTCATAGTTCATACTTCAGTTCTATAAAAATTCTGCAAGAAGGTTTTTATATGCGTTATTCAACAAGCATATTGTTTTTCTCGTATTGAAATTTTCAATGAATAATGTCATTCGAATTTGTCTTTAATATAGAAACGAAAATTTAATCCACCAGTTTCATTTGATTCCAAACAATATTTTGATCGACAACCTCAACTTCTTGATCGTTTACTGATCATCAATCCAGCATCGATTGAAACTCCTCTAGCATCTCCACCACCAGTATTAAAAGAAACAAGCGAACCACCGCCGACACCAACTACAGTAGCATCAAAAGAAACCAATGAATCATTTCCATCACCAACAGAACAAATCGTTCGAGACAATGCTGAAATATGGACAAATGATGCGGGTAATTTAAATAACATCATTAATTTTCAAATCTAATTGAATGTTTTTCCTAGAAAAAGAAGTACTTGCACCAACTTTATTATCAGTATGAAGGAAAATACCATCAAATGATGTAATACCAACCGAAGAATTGACTGTCGATGATGATGATGATGAAGAAGAAGATCCAATGGTAACTAATTTAGAACAAGATGAAGTTGAAGCAGAAAGCGAAACTCAACGTAAGAAAGATATGAAGATTTATTTTAAAAAAGTTTTATTTTATTTTTAATCAGAAGCACCACCAACTTCAACTGAACCAGTTGAAATGGGACCAACCAATCAAAATATTTTACGATTACTTGAAGAAGATGAAAAAGTTAGTTCATTTCATTATTAAAAAATAAAAATTTTGTTTTTTTCTCTATAGATATCAGCAGCATTTCGTTGTGCACGTATTGAAGGAATTGATGGTAGTAAAGGAATATTAATCTTTGGTCGTGAACATTTTTATATTCTCGAAGGATATACATATAATACAGAAAAAAAATGAAATTGTTGATTTAGACAAATGTCGAAATGAATATATACCATTAATACCTAAATCATCAACAATAACTAATACAGATTCAATACAATATAAAAAAGAATGTTCAAAATTTGCTTATGAAGATTTAAAAGAAGTTCATAAACGACGACATATTTTACAAGTAGATATTTACAGAAAAAATTTTTTATGCAAAATTTCCTTGTTTTTTTTTAAAGCCAATTGCTCTTGAATTATTTGCCGCCGATGGTCGAAATTATTTACTTGTATTTGTTCGTAAAGAACGTAATGAAGTTTATCAACGGTTATTAAGTTCAGCAACTGAATTAACTGATTCAGCAATTCATTCTGTATCAGGTCAACAACGAAGTTTCAGCATAGAACAAGGGTATAATTTTCTTTTATTTATTTTATAATAGTTTAAAAAAAAAAGAAAATAGAAATAATTCAGTTAATCTAATATATAAATTTTATTTTATTTTCTACTAATAGTCATCTTCGAAATCGAAGACACATGTAAGAAATCCTTGTTTCTTTTAAATGCATGATGAGAAAAACTATGAAATGAATTCATCATGAGACTATAACTTCCTCTTATCAGAATGATAAACGAATTATTTAGATATACGGATAATTGACCTCTATAGCATCCTTATCCTTGCATAATATTGAAAACGAAAACTTGGATTTAATTATACAATTGATTTGTATAATGTATTAAAATTTACTTGTTTTGATTAGAATCAGTTTTCTTAGAACACTTATGGGTGAACGATCGGTTACACAACGATGGGAAAGAGATGAAATTAGTAATTTTCAATATTTAATGTATTTAAATACACTTGCTGGACGTTCTTATAATGATTTAATGCAATATCCAGGTATTTTATGGAAATAATGGTTTATTAAAACTTAAAGTTTTTTTCCTTTTAGTATTTCCATGAATTCCAGCCGATTATGATAATAAAGTAAGTATGAGTATCGGAATAATGTAGAGACCTCCGCTATTTGAATATTATCTCTTTATTTTCTGATTGATAAAATTGTAAATAAAGTCGAATGAATATGATTTGATATTGAGTATATAGAAGTGTAATTGTAACTTTTGATTAATTAAGGAATTAAATTTAACAAATCCATCAACATTTCGTGATTTATCAAAACCAATGGGTGCTCAAACAATTGATCGTTTGCTACAATTTCAAAAACGTTTTGTTGAATGGGATGATCCAACAGGTTCAACACCAGCTTATCATTATGGTACATGTTATTCTTCTGCAATGATTGTTGCATCATATCTTGTTCGAACTGAACCATTTGCACAAGTTTTTCTTCGTTTACAAGTGAATAAAACAAAAAAATATTAACTATTTTAAATAAACTTTTTGTTTCTTAGAGTGGTCATTTTGAACTAGCTGATCGAATGTTTCATAGTATTAAATATTTTTGGTTATCAGCTAGTAAAAATAATATGGCTGATGTTAAAGAACTTATTACGGAATTTTTTTTTTACCGAATCTTTTACTTAATACAAATAAATTTGATCTTGGTATGATCAATTGAATATTTCAATTTGAATTTTTTTTGTTTTTTCTATGTCGGAAAAAAACAAAGTGGTTTAGCTTTAAATGATGTTATATTACCACCATGGTCAAAAAATGATGCAAGAGAATTTATACGTATTCATCGAATGGTAAGACGAGGAAAAATAAGATATTGAGAGATAATGGTGATGCAAAAGTTTTTGTAAAAATGTTCTTTCATTTTTCGTCTAGTAAAACTGATTTCGGACAAAATAAAAAATATCTATTCAGAATCTGCATTGAAACAGTTTTTTAACAGGGGTGTGGGTGTGGGGTGTGGGTGTGGGTGGGTGTGGGTGTGAGTGTGTGGCTGTGGGTGTGTGGGTGTGGTGTGGGTGTGGGTCTGGGTGTGGCTGTGGGTGGGTGTGGGTGTGGAGTGTAGTGCATCTATTCACGCGCATCCACACCCACACCCACCACCCACACCCACACCCCACACCTACACCGACAACCTGACTAGGTGCAGTTTCTGAGAAAAAATCATGTTGGTGCCACCAGGTCTTGAAGAACAATGAAAGACCACAAAAATATCAAAAAAGTTGAAATCCTGGGTTTTTCATTAAAAATTTAGATATTTTCAATTAAAAAAAAATTTTTTTCTTTAAAACAAGATAATGAACTAAGCAAAATTGTACAGCGAAAAAAGCTCTACAAAACTATGTAAGACAATAATTGTTATCATATTCTGATAAGAGTCATTTCCATATGATAGTCTAATGCTTTGAACCTAAATATTTGATCATACCCCTTCGATANCTTAAAAAGGTTTCGAAGAAAAAAGGATCTTCACTTGGGTACACGGTAAGATCCTTTAAAGGTTCCGAGTTTTTTTTAGTCGTTTTTCGAAACTTTCAACTCATTTGCAAACTTTTTGTCATCTACCGAACCTTTTTTTGAGGTTCCAGAAAGTACCGTTTTTTTTACAGTGTAGAAGCAAGTGAGAAGTAGTGTACCACACTTCTCATCACTGCCTTGACAAATTTAGAGTGCAGCGTGCTCCTATTTCTGAGAAAATCGGGCTTTAGCTTTCTCTGATTGCGATGAAGTCTAGAATGCATCATCTCTCGCTCCATTTTAGTAGATATCTATCTTCATGATCAAAACATACTAGATGCCTACGTTACTTTCGCAAAGTTTTGCTAAACGAAGAGAAATATTTTTAAAAAATCAATATATAATAATATTACTGTTATGAAATTCTAATATCATATAATGTATTAAATAATAAGCAAAATTAGTAGTTTTATGACGAGTTTGGTACCAGTAGATATAGGAGATATGGTTATGGTGCATACATTATACCATACAGATTTCTTTATTCTAGATAAGCGATATATTTGTATTTCTGTTCTTTACTGGTGGAATTCCTTTATTATTTCTTTGATTGAGAGAAAATGAGCCATATTTTAGAAAAAAATAGTTATTATTCAGGTTTCAAATGTTTTCCACTATTCCAACACTTTTGTGATCCGTCATACTGAAAAACATTTCTGTCTTCATCAACAGTGCCCTTGAAAGTAGTGATGTTGTGTCCCGAAAAACTAGATATCTAAATTGATTCACCTCATGAATGTTTGCGACGCAAATATATTTCTTCAAAAAACTCTTCAGCATCTATGTTCCTCACGAGAAAAGGTTTTAAAATTGAGACGATACTGTTTCTTTTCGCTGAAATGATGAAAAGCTTGAATTCTATTACTCATCATACGAATGGCTCATTGAAAAAAGACATCTCAATAAAAACGCTTCAACAGATCACCAACAACAGCAGAATCTCGAACGAGATTCTTCCACTTCCTCATAACGAAAACGTGCACGCTTCTGGCTATACATTAAAAAATTCTTCTAATGTCTTCTATCGAGCAGTTCGCAGACGTTATAGTTAGTATCGCAGCTAATGTCTACTCGTGAATGACCTAGATTATTAATTAGATCAACATTTTTCAAGTAAAGATATGTATTTCTTTATTGAAAAATTCAAAAAAAATCTTATACAAAATACAATACTATAAGGTTTTTTCATGTGCCATTATTGAATCATTCATTCGTATTAGCAAACCAATCATTTGAATTCGAGCTTTTTCGAGCTAACAAGCGAATTGATTTATTCATTCCAGCTGTTTCATCTTTGTTAACAAACATAATATCAAATTGTTCTTCACTAGCTATTTTTGCACGAATTGGAAAATGCATTATATCAGTTTCAGTTATGATTTCAATTGATTGATCTAATTGATAAAGACCTTGAGATTGTTGTTGTTGTTGTTGTTGTTGACTTTGATTTTGATTTTGTTTAATAATTGCGTAAAGTTCAATCATGATAGGTCGACGCATACCCGCAGCAAGCTTTAAGAAAATAATTTTATTAAACAAATAAATAGAAACTAAATGTACATACAAGTCCTGGTTGAAAGACTACTCGTAATCCAGTACCTAATGGTGGTTGACGAATACGAAAACGACATGCATCAATACCAACATTTTTTATTTCGATTTCTGCTCCATAGGTTACACCTATATTTATTTTTGACTTGAGAATATATATACTTTTTTCAAATTTTGATCAATAGTTACCGTCTTTTAAAATACCAAAATCAATTCTATCAGGAAAAAGTTCACAACCACGTCTTTCTCTTAATGGTCGATTATTAAGAGCAGCTGCACCAATCGATGCATTATTTGGTCGAACCATTACAGGTTCTTCCATATCCAGAAACTTAACATAATTGAGGAAAAAAGTCAATGATATCTTTCTACGTTAAGTAAGAAGACTTACACGCGAATGAGGTTCTGCATTTGGTCGAGAACCTTTCAATCCACTTGGTACTTTAATCGGATGTGCTCGTTTGTTACCATATGCGTTATATTGTATATAACCTCTTGTTGATATAAATTGTTTAACAGGACGATAAATACCTTCTTGATCATGTTGGCCAGAACCACCTATGGTTTTGTTATCTTCAGCTTCTGGAATATGAAAATCTTCTTACATATGTTTTCTTTTTCAAAATAAACTCATTCTCTATTTGTTAAAGAATGATTTATGTAAGAAACTTTCACTCACCTGTACTAACACTACGAGTTGGTTGAGATTTTCGAACTTGTGATAATCGATTTTGTTGATCAGATGGAGAATTTGGAGGAGATTTCATTAAACTTTGATTACCATTTGATGATTCTAATGTAATGTATAATAGATATTTTTGACAAAATCAAAAAGGAAAAATTCTAGAATTACTAATAGCTTCGGCACTCTTGGATTCTCTTGGTAAAATATTTTCTGTTTCGTGATGTTGTTGTTGTTGGATATATGCCATTCCCCATTCACTTTTAAAATAAGGCATAGTTATACCTTTTTTTATATCATTTTTTAATTGTTTATTGAATTTTTCTTGTTGAAGTTCATCTTGTAAATGATCGAGATTAAATTTTTTTGATAGTGGTACTACTGATTGACGTGTTGTTGTTTTTTGTCGATCAGGATGAACAGTTTTAAGATATAATAATGTTAAATCATCTAATAAATATAGAACAAATATTCAATTGAACATGAATATAATTAAATTAAAAGCAAACACCTTTTGTAGTTCCTTGTGGTCGAACATTTTTCCAAATTTTAGTTGCTTTTTCTTTTTCATATCGACTTCGATTATCATGTGGTAATAATTTTGTATGATAATCAGCTCGATTTTTAACAAAATCAATATAAGATCTAAAGTAAAATAAAATGAAATTGAAATGAATTTTGTTTTGTTTTGTTTTGTTTTTTTAATTTCTTTTATCATACTTTAATGAAGTAAATAATTTAATTCGAATATCATCTTGAAGTCTTGGAAATTCCATAAAATTACGATAATCAAGTGCTTTAGGCATTTCAAGTAATGGTTGTTGATTTGAAAGACCAGTTGTTAATGTTGTAGATTTAAATTGTTGTTGATTATTTTTACCCGTTTGTCGAAGAATAGCATTATCTTGAGGATTTAAATTATTTGTTGATGAATTATTACTTCCTGACATTGATGAGTAACTACGAGTCATAGCTGTTGCTGATGTATAATTACGAAGACTTGCAGGAACAACTGAATCATCATCAAATGATGTTAACCAACGACGATGAACTTCATCTATTGAAGATTATGAATGAAATTTGAAAAAAAGAAAACAAATTCATACCTTGAAAAGGTCTCATTACAGTAGCTCCAGTTACTTTTGGATTACTTAATAATGGTTCACGAACAACGGCTGTACTTGGATCAAGATCCATTGTTCGTAAATATGAATAAAGATCTTTAAAACGTAATAATTCAGTGCCACTACCATCCTCATGAACAATAAAAAACCTAAAAGTAATAAAAAATAAAATAAAATAAAAGAATGTCAAAAAAACACAAGACCACTTGTTACTTCTTTAAAGAGGAATGGTCCACAAACAATTTAAACATAATACATGTTAACCTTTTTCTGACTTTCACAAACAGTTTTTAGTACTTCTTCTCTCTATATAATACAAGATTCACTGAATTACGAACAGGATGGAAGAAAAAAAAGCATAGTGAGAATCCATGGATAAACTCTTTAATACGTTGATTAACATTTAAGATACAAGCTGCTTTTATAAGTGTACGTCGCAATTCAAAGGCATAAATACGAAAACCTTTTTTTTTCTTTCTTAGAGGCCGTCTTTGTAAATATCTTATTTCTACTATTTTTACTGTCAAAATGTTCTTTCCAATGCTCACCAATCTTTTCATAGGGTATACTTCTATGCAGACAACACAACTTTTCTTAAAACTCTCATCATAATAAAATAAAGATAAAAAAAAAATTGTTTAACCTTAATCGAGAATAAGTCAATCTATAAGTTTGTCTATTCTATCGAAGGTCTTTTTTCTATGCTTTCAATCAAAACTTGATTTATCACTCTTTCATATTCTCTTTAATAAACGTTTCTATTTACCTTGGTACATGCATTTCTAATGGCAAGGTTTTCGTTATTTGACGTTGATCAGTTTCTTTTGAATATGTTTCTCCGGATGCTTCAACACAATATTGAGTTTGTTCATAGTCAACAGCATCAAATATGAGATCACCATTTTGTGATAAAATACATTTACTTGGTTCAATATTTGATAAAAGTTCTTGAACACGTTTTGCATAAATTGATCTAAAATTAATTTATATAAAATTTTAGATAATTGTCGAAATAAAAATTACTGTTGAAAATCCAAAAGTATATCACCATTATCATTAATATCAAATTTTTCTCCATCACTTTCAAATATTGAATAAGTACCATTTGCAAAAACATCTATTGAACTACCATCATTAAATACGGTACGACAATCAGTTGTTTGACAATTGAATGCGACCGTTGCATAACCCAATGCTTCAATTTTAACATGAGGGATTTTTCGAAAGCCTAACATTGAATTATTACGTTCATCTATTTAATTATAAAATCAAAAAATAAATATGACATGATTATATTTCTACCTGTTTCTTGATTAGTTGGACTATTATTTTTCTGTTCAACTGCTTCATAAGTTGTTATTCTAGATAAATAAACGATTAAATGAAGTTACGCACGAAAACAACAATACGTGAATAATTCTTTAACAATTCAAATTATTTTACATATTTTTTTTTCTTTTCATTTTGTTCACATTGAATGTATATATCTATGAACATCATAATCATATTACCACAAAGATTTTAAATGAACTCTTATTTAGAACTACAGTTCAAAGTTCCATAAAAATAGTAAATCAAAAAAAGAACGATTCTTCATTTTCTGAAAGATTTCTAATCACGACTGAAGAAAAACTTGATGAAATTTATAATATTTGTGAAACAAACGTTCAATCTGTTTTAAATAAAATGATAGCATATCGAATCATAACAGAATGTCACTTATTGGGATCGTTTACGACTAGAGCCCGCAAAGTCAAAAGTTTTTAGATTTGAACTCGGTTAACAAAAAAAATTTCAGATCCGCACCTGGTCGAATTCAAGATCAACCCAACAGGATCTATTCACAATATCTCTACCAAGAGAATTCATTAGATCATGATGAACTACTTTCATTTAAAGAAATCAGTCAATAAACATAATATGAAAAACAGGATGTGGATGTCGGTGTGAGCGAGGATCTTCTATGTAACCTCATTGACACTCTTGCTCACACATTCGCTCACTTTCAATGCTTCTTCAGGATATTTCGAAACTCGCATGTCATGCAACGAATTGTTCTAGCACAAATTTTCATAGGTCTCGTCGAATTGAAAATGGTTTTAAAAGAATGGATCAAACAACTATTGCCACCTTCGTATCAGTTGCTTGAATTGTTAAAGAATTATTCAAGTTGTGTTGTTCTAAAATGAATCCTACCTTGTTCCATCAGCAAAACTAACAATTCGAGATCCATCAGAACGAAAAACAATAATTACTTTGTCTTCTCGATGAATGACTTGCTAAATAATGAAACAGATAGATAATTAATTGCTACATTTGAATTTTTTGTTTTCGTGTTAAACTACCTCATTTGTTTTAGGATTTGTTTCAAGAATTAATCTTAATTGATCAACTTTTTCATATTCTTGATTTGTTGAATTTTGTATAAAATATTGTCCATCAGCAGTAACACATTTCCATTGATAAGTAGGTTGTGTAACTTCTTCAATAATCGTTGATACGTCTGTTTCATGTTTAGTGTCACCTTTCTTTTTTCCTTTCATATCTCCTTTAGTTTCCTTTTTAGCACTTTGTGGACTTTCAGTTGGTACTTCTATTTCTGGTTCATTTTGATGTACAATTGTTTTCATAAATATTCCACCATCCGGTTGAAGAATCTATTGATAAAAATCAAAACTAATAAATAAATCTTACAATAAACTTAATAAACATTTAACATACAGTTACTTCTCCATCACGTTTAAATATCATAACATGTCCTTCAGCATCAATAATACGTGAATTTTCTTCATATGCAGTTAAACGTGATTGTTCACATGTATGAAAACCTTTTGATTGACATGGATAATATTGTTTAACAACAAGTTTATGAGGTTGCTTAGCTTCCGTTGGTTTAACACCTAAATCGAAAAACAAAAAACAAACATTTTTTCAAATTAAAATTACAAAATAAAAAAAAATAAAAACTACCGAGAAATGTTTCCGGGTAATATGTAAGAACAAGACCAGTTGGAATTGAAATAGTTAAACGTTGAAATGGTTCAGCTTCGTATTGTGGTTCAGCTGGTAGTTTTTCCTAAAGAAAAACAAAGAGAAAAAGAAAAAGAAAATATTTTCGATTGATCATGAAAAATGAATAAAATCATGATTGATTCATCTTGTGTATAGTGAAATTTCTGAATCAAAAAAGAATTGAAATCATATATGAAGTGAAATCAAAACAAAATGTGTAGATGCAAAAACAAAATATATACAAATTTCAGCGAATAAGCGCTACCTGGACGACAGGTACTATTACCTATAGTATAATTATAATGTATATTTCATTTAGATATAACGAATAAATGATTTTAATCTAGATTTTAGAATAAAACTTACAAGTGGTGGAGTTTCAGCTTCAACTGCTTTGCCTTTTTTCTTGCCTTTAGCAGCTGCTGCTTCTTTCTTTTTATCTTCGATTTTTTCTTCGACTGGTATTTCAGGAGCTGGTGGTTCAGGTGGAGGTGTTTCTAGTAAAATAAAATCAATAGAAAATTTGTAATGAATTTATCAAATAGGAAAATTTACCTTTCGGAGGTTTAGTATCATAATTACTACAAGATAGAATCATTCCTGAATTGAGTATAGCTGTAAATACACCATATTCAGCAACATGTTTTTCTGTTGTTGCAGTTGGAGGATTGTCTTTAAAGAAAACAAAAATGACATACAATCATCAATGAGTATATTATTCGAAGACATGAACAAACCATCTGTTGGTTTTGTTGTTTCATCCGTATTGCTTTGTTCTATTGATGAGGGTTGATTATCAGTATTTGAAGTTTTATTTGGATTAATTAATTGTACTGTATATGAACTTTTATTTCGATATAAACTAAATATTAATGGAAGATTTAATGATTATTTATAAAGAATTTCATCTGACGAACCTAGTTGAAACACATGTTGATCCTCGTTTAAGAGTGTCAATACGTGTTCGAACGAAACATCCATCAGGAAGAAGTAAATGAGACGTATTACATTGTGCACTTAATAAACGATTGCCAAGACTATATCCAATGAACTAATGATAACGATAAAATCAAATAGAATAACATATAAAACACTGTAAAATTACTTGTTCCAAAGGTTCGTTTGATTCTTGTGGTGTTTTCATTCCCTTAAAATATATATGAATTGAAAATTATTTATTTTCTTTTTTTTTTTTATAAATGTTCGAAAACTTTTTACTTACTGCTGATTTTTCAGATGGTGTAGCACTAGTTGGTCGTTTTGTTTTAGTTCCTTTCGGAGATTTATCTCGTGGTGTTGGTGGTTTAGCTGCTTTTTCAGCTGCTCGTGGACTTTTAACTTTAGGTGATCGATTACCTGATGGTGGTCTTTTTGCTTTAACTTGTTGTTCCTGTTCTTGAGTTTCTTTATCTTTTTTTTGTTTCCATGCTTTTAATGATGTTGGATGTACATAATCATCACGAATTGTTTTTTCTTCATCCGAACTATTTCCACTATCAGAACTAACACTTGGTGATCGAGCCGGCGGTGTTTCTACAATAAATTTGGTTGTTTTGTTTTTTTTCATTTAAAAGAATATAAATAAGATTTAAATGTACTTTTTCCTGTTGCTGCTTTTCCTTTCTTGCCAGCACCTTCAATAGCTACAGCAGCTCCTTTTAATGTATCAGGTGTTGGTGTTGTTTGACGTACATATGTTTGTACTTCGTGTGCAAGTATATCAGCTTGATATTTAGCTTCTTCATTTCGAAGCCAATCGACAATTTCATATGATATTTCATCAAGAAAATTTCTATTAAATTGATAATTTATAATTTCCATTTCAAAAAAAAAAAGATTTTTTCTTACCTGAATCCAACATCAGAAAACAATTTTTTACTTGTATTTTCATATCCAATTGTTCTACCTTCAGGCACGGGTAATGAAAGAATGATCATATGAGTATTATCTCGTCGATTATAGTATACATTAATATGTGAATGTGTAAATAAGGCTTGTTCGATTACCTAGAAGAAAAATATCGTAGTGAAAAAAGAGTTTTAAATTCTTTCCGAATAGAAAAGCATAATTGTCATAGGATTTGAGATATTTGAGGCTAGTCAGATCCTTTTGTCTTTCCGTATCAATAGTAGTTTTGGATACTAATTGAATACTTACATATTTAATTAATTATGCGCTATTGAGTTATTTTTGACCCATTCGTAGTAGGTGATTTCAAAAAATTTTTCTAGGGTTGTTTCGTTTTCGCGACGTTTTTAAATACTTTTCTGTCGATAAAAGTAAAACAAATCTGCAAGTTTTCTTATAACCTTCCTTGGGCATCAAACTATAACAATAAGAATGGGTGATTTCGAAGCACAATTAGAATCGACGATTTCATATTTAAAAAAAAAAAAAGAAAAGTAATGCTAACGATTCTGATACAATTCTGGAAATGAAAGATCTAACTTCAGTCTGAAAAAGTCACATTGTCGATGTCTACTGATTTACCATTTCCATGATGACTCATTTTTCAAAAAAAAAAAACAAAATTCGTGCTCAGTAGGTTTTCAGTTTTGTACAGATAAAATAAACGAAAAATTGCGATACGAAGTAGAAAAAAAACCAGATTAACAAAAACTTCAATTTTTATGCCATTCAAACTGTAATGATAATTTATGACCTATTCTGCACCTCAACAGTAAAATGACTTCATATAAATTTAACTATATCAGTGTCATATTAAACATTTATATAAGCTATTCACGTAGTCGACTCAACACTAGCTATGCTGTATTGGTGCCAGGGTTAAAGGGTTAATTATAGACTATTACTCATAAATGATCTATTGAAATAATTTTAGCTTAGAATACAAGATTATGAGCGGATATGAGTATTGATTTCATTCACACCTTATTAAAATTCGGACGTAAATGATATTCATCCATTTTTATTTCTGTAATAAATTAGTTAGATACATACTTGTGCAAATACATCAGGTTCAAAATGTTCAGCAAAATTCCAATCATTTAAATTTCGTTTATGATATTGAGTAATATTTTGAATTGTTCCATCGACATTTGCACCTCCAACTGGTGGCATCAGATGAGACATTTGTTGATAAAGATTATTGTCTGGATTATTAACATCAAAACGAACAGTATAGACTGTTGAAATCAAATAAAAGAAGGCAATCGAAAACAAAGTTATTATTAGTGATTAAAAAAAAATGAAGATCAAATGTTAGTTCTCTGTAGAAAAAGAGATGATGTTCAAAAGAAAAAAAGTAATAATAAATTCGATTAGGTGTCGATTGGCAACAAGTGATTTAAGTTTTGTCAACCTTCGACAAAAAAATATACACGCAAATACATGCATTAGTACCTGAATCTGGTTCTGTAAGATAATAATTGACAAATGTTTTGTTTTTTGTTTTTTATCAAAATTCTTAAAAGTCATTTTTTTAAAATTTAACTAACCTGCTCGTTTTGGTGATTGAGTTCGCATTCGTAAAATAGATCCTCTTGAAGCTAAAACAAAGAGATAGAAATTTTATTGAAAACTTTCTTTTTAAAAATATACATCGACTTGTTGGACTTGGTGCAAGTGTATCAGCTGAAATTCCAATTCTTCCTGTTTGTTCATTAGTTATTAATAATTCAAATGGATCATCCCATATAATTGGTTGTGTATTACTTGATTGTTTATTTTCTTCATCAATTAAAGTTGATAAACGTCTTTCAAAACGTAATTGTTCATCTTCATGATTATTACATTCAGCAGATGATGGACGACTTGTTTGTTGTTCACTAGGATTTTCTGTTGTTGTTGTTAGATTTATTGGCATACATTCAAAAACAAGTTGTTTTAGGATATGATCAACATCTAAAGATAATAATTAAGTAACATAAAAAAAAATGTGTTTATTTGTTTTTGTTCTAGAATACGATCTAAAAGGAGTGTTGAAGTATAGAAGTAGAAACTTAGACCTCTCACAGATATCTTAGCAATCTATCACAAACGTTATGTCAATAACATTTCGTTTTTCCAAGTCTGGAGAGGATGGCAAAGAAATATGGCCCGAAAATAGATAGAATAAAGCAATCTTTCTGTGAATAGTAACAGCAGTTATATTGTATTTTCATATTTTTATTTCACAGAGATTGTGCTAATAGTGTTTTTGCTTCTACTGACCTGATAGAAGAAGTTCTTCATCGGTACAAAATTGTAAAAATTGATTAAGACGTGCTTGACGTTCTCTGGATTCTAAATCATCAACTTTTTTCGATGATAATTCAGGAAGATTAGTAAGACGTGAATGTGACATTATGAAATCATGTTCTACTTTAATTGGATCAAGTATAGCTAAACGATTTAATGTTGCTAAACGTTGTTTTAAATCATCACCATAATAAATCATTATTGGACCTGATCCAGTAGCTTTTGAAAATGGAGATTTTGGAACAAGATTTTCAATTTCCTATTTAACAAAACAAAAAAAGAAAGTATCTTATTTGATATTGTTTTTCAAGTTGAATTTTTACTTTTTGCTGGTCTTTTCCTATCGAAAGACTCATTAATTTTTCACGTAAATATCGTCCAACATCATCTTGTTGACTCGATATATTTTTATTAACATTAGCAGTTTGAGCTTCAACCTAAAATTTTTCTTTTGATTATATAAAACAAAACCAAAAATTAGTTATTTTCTTTTTTAAACAAACCTGTTCAAGAATTCCATGTAAAATAAGTGATACACTTATTGATTCAGGTGGAATAATTGTCGTTATTTCATTATAAATTTTTGCATCAGATACTGATTCAATTGTTTTTTCTTCTAAATAAATAAGAAATTTATCATTTCAGAATAACAACAACAAAAAAAAAGAAAATTAACAACGTAAAATACGAACCAACAGTAGGTATTGTCACAACTTTCATTTGTTGATTAAACGTATTAAATTGTCGTTTACGAACATTTAAGCGAAAACTATTTTCAACGATACTATTATAAAGTGATTGAGCTAATTTAATCTATTAGTTTAAAAAATAGAAAAAAAAACGAAAAAGAATTCTTTTGTATTTAGTATTTAAAATTTTTAACTAACTCTTTGTTCCGTATTAGTCCATGAATCAGGCACATCATTATTTGAAACTTTTAAAGTCGTTACAATAATATCTTGTAACATTGATCGATCTGGTGCATTATCTAATATTGGCATTAGAGTTTTCCAGAAGTTATTTAGTATTTGATCATTTCGTTCATTTTGTTGAGCAATTTGTTCAGGAGTCACTAAACATTAAATAATCATGAAGAATTAATTCTGAATATGACTAAGTTTTTTTGCTATTAGTTATAAACAACATTCGCTGAATGGTAATAATCTAGTTATCTCTGTGATTATATCAAAAAATTATTCCTAGGAATGATTAGAAGTTTTATTTAAAAAAAAAATAATAATAATAATAAGTCATATCAAATTCATTTTGTAATTTGACAATGACTTATAAATAATTTCGTTAAATGGTGGGGTTTCTCATTTGGTATGTGACATAGTTAGTTATCATATTTACAAAATTAAAAAAAAAAGAAAATTCTTACGTATTGAATCCTTCTCTGAAAATGATCAATTTTAGAACGAATTTTATTTTTATTCTTAAAAATTTTATACATACGTATGTCTTTAAGTATATCAGCTTTAAGTGTTTGTTCTTGTCGATCTCGTTGAATCATTTCATCAAATAAACGTTTTGTTTCATTCAAACTATCACATGATATATTTGTTATTGTATCAATATGAATTCCAGCATTATCAAGAGCATTTAAAAGATCAGTTGAATAAAAGCCACTTAAAAATATATATTGATTAGGTCCATCATTTGGTTCATCATCTAAATTAAAATGAATTCTTGTTTGTTTTTTTTTTCGTCATGCAAATTCATAAAATAAAACTATTTATAATTATATAGAAGAGCAGGAATATAGCAAAAGAATATTTTCTACCACCTTCTATTATTCTTTGTGAACTTTCTGAATAAAATAATCTGAATTTCAAATGCTTTCTTTTTTTTCAGTTAATTAACATACCGATATATTTTGTTTCATTAGTAATTTGATCACGTGTTTTAACACCTGTTGATTTTTCAATATGTGTATCAGCTGCAGATGATTGTAAACCAGGTGTTTGTTTTTTAGCAGCACCAGCTGGCTTAGGAGATTTTTTTCCACCTGGTGATTTTGGTTTTTCAGTTTTAGTTGTCATACTAGTTGCTGGTGTCGATGACTATAAATATATTTAACTATTATAATTAAAAGTATGATTTTGTATTACATACTATTTTAAGTAGTGTTCGATTTTGCACTTCTTTTTTAAGATCATTTATTCGACATTTGATTAATTTTGCCCATAATTGATCATCAATATCTCCACCTGTATCTAATATTGATTTAGCATATTCATAAGCAGCAAGAAAAGGTGAATTAGTAAGACTGGCAACAGTTGGATTTGTTGAAACGCTTTTAGTGGCATTTTTTGATGCTTTACCCAATGTTTTAATCTAAATAGTATCGTTTGAATAAACAGTACTAGTTAAAATGATAAGACCAGTATATTTTTGATTTTGTTTCTACTATACCAAGTATTTAACTCAAATTCAAATAATGATTTGAATAGCGAATGAACTTTTTTATCAAGTGCAAATCATGCTGAAATTTCATACATGAACTATGAAAGGAAGGTTCCTATAAAACCAAACTCAGTAGCTTTCAGACCTTAGAACACTATGTGAAAACCAGTTTATAAGAGTATTATCTTAAATATTACAAAATATTGAATACAGTGACAGGTTGCCGCATTCTCTATGATATTTTCTTAAAAGGTTATAAATATCTTAAAAAAATGAAAACAAAAGCAAATTTCATCATATCATTGATAAAAATCACATACGTTTTGTTTTTTGTGATACTTATAACTTTTTAAGAAAAGGTCATAAGAAGTGTGACAACTCCTAATATTATATTCAGAATTTCATGCTTTTTAAAATAGTAAGCTTAAAAAGTAATTTTCTTCGACATGAAAACTACTGTGTTTGATTTTTCTGAAATCTTCTTCTCATAGTTCATTTATGAAATCTCTGTATAAACTACATTTAATAGAAGGTTTCATTAGCTATTCAAATTACTATTTGGATTTGAGTTAAATGCTTGTTATCGTATGAAACAAAAATTCAAAAATATGTTCGCCTTATATATTTGACTAATACTGTAGAAAGATATGAGAATATCTTATTTTTCTAACGTACAGCTTCAAGAAGATCACGTTTAGAAATAAAATCAAATCGTCGTCGAACGCCATGTTGCATGGCTTTTTCAATAAGATCAACATAAATTTGATTAACAGAACAGTCAGGTGTAAGAAAGCAAACAAATGTTATCCAATTATCCTATGTAATAGAGTAAGAAAAAATAAATTTAGATTATAGTTTTTATATTGCTCACTTGATTAACTGAAACTGAACTTAACAATGATTCCCAAGTTGCTCCTCCTGGTTTAGCACTTTTTGGACTTTTTGTGCGAGGACTTTTTGTTCCTTTCGGTGGCATTTTTTATATAATTGCGTATTATCGATCTAAAAGTGAGAAGTTTATTTCAAATAATTTACACTTTTTCTCTAGTAGAAACAAAATTCAGTTTTCATTTTTATTCATTCATATTTTAGAAATTCCATCAACTTTGAATGCCATTATATTTACACAATATTTTACAATGATGAAAATTTTTATTTTTATTTATTTAGTCTATAATCAACAATCGGCGTTTATATTTTCAACAATATCAAGTCTCAAATCATCATACAATAGAATACTCTGGGACACTATAGTAACAAATATGACATTACATTATGTATTAGTTATTTTTATTTTTCGTCTATTCAAAAACAAAAATAATCAGAAATAAATTACTAATAATTGATATCAATAAAATTGTGTTGCTTTGTCATTTTTTGTATTTCAAACTTGTACTATTCATTAACAAAATTCTGTTTTTCTTTTTCAAATTCTCATTTTTCTTTACATTGAATCTTACAAACATGTATATATATATGTCTTCTTCTTTATTTTACGCATTTCGATAATCATAAAGTAAGTAAAACAACATGTCGTTTCAGCGTGTTTTGTTCACGCTTGAGTGATAAATCGCAAACACGACAAAAGAGATATTCTTCATACTTTTGCCCATACACTTTATCATGTTGTCAACAACAGTCCCAATTTTAAGTATAACAACAACGACTTATTTATCTCTCTCTTCCTTTTATTCTTCGCCTTCTCCACCTCCAGTTTTCGTCTCTACTAATCATAATAGAAAGTGTTGTTTCTCCCACATGTGTATACAGACAATCCATAATTGTATGCAAAAAAAAAAATAAATAAAAAAAAATTGAAGAAAAGAAAAAACAATTAGACCAACTGAGTATATCAATAACAAGAAAAAAACAAGCAGCACAGGTAACATGTTGACGTCATGTAAACGATCACATGCAATTTTTCACCAATCATCAGTTTCGATACGATTGGGCGATCATCGTATGAAGAGATGAAGACAGAGAGGGAGAGAGAAACGATGCAACGCTTGTCATGCATAGAAATAGTATTGCAAAAAAAAAAATATTTAAAATATTTCCGCACCTGCGCGTGTTTCAACGCTCATAACAGTCAATGCAGGTTGAAGGGCAATACCAAGAAGACATTAACGCCATTACGCACAGTCCCTATTATGGATGTACTGTACGAGTTCTATCAAAAGCTCGCGTTTCCTATGAAGGTGTACTTGATGGTATTAGTACCAACAAAGATCGCATATATCTCAAAAATGTACGTGTCAATGCAAATATAACAGATTCTTCTAATCGAAGTAAGCAAGAAAAAAATTTTCTTTTCTTCATTTAATCAAAAAAAAATGTACATCTTATTTAGATAGTTCTTCGGATGATCTTAATAAAAATATTACAACTGATACATTAAATGCTGTGATGATTGATCATTTAACAAATGATATTCATACATACGAACAAGTATGCTTAAATGTACGTGATATTCAAGAATTAAGATTGATACAATTACCTTCAACATTTCATGAATCAAAAGCAAAATTACGAGCTATTGATCCATGTCTTGTTGACATTCGTTTATCATCATCTGATGAATATGAAACAAAATCAAATGGTTCAAATACTGATCATCCACCACGTGCACCCATAGCACGTCAAAGTCGTGGTGAATCATTTGGAAGTAATGGAGATAGTGCATTAATATCTTCGGACTCAAATGACTCTTCAGCTTCATTTGCTTTGCGTTCTGATGAAAAATTTGCTGATGAAAGTAATGATGAATCGCTTGATGAACAAATTCAGAAATTTAATCAATTAACAACGGCAAGTTTTAATTCAAAACCAGTTACATTACTTGCTAAAAAGGTTTTACCAAAAAAAATTGATCGTCGTACAGATTTACAATCAACTGCAGCAATTAATACAAATAATAATATTCGGCAGACTACTCCTGACAATCGTGAAATAACTGATAGACCAATACAAATTAATAATCATAATACGTTAAAAATAGGACCAGCAGTTAGTGATAATCGTAAATCATCACCAATACGTGTAACTATTACAAGTACATTAAATCCCAATGCTACACCATTTTACACTCAACAAAGAAATATACCTGCAATGCAACATTCATCATTTACATTTTATGAACGACCTCGTTTTCGACCACGTTTACAGCCTGTTACATCACCAGATCGCTCACAATCATTGCCATATGGAATGAATGTAGTCGATAATAATAATACTAATAATAATCATCATTATCAACAACAACAAAATTATCCTCATTCAAATCAAAGTTATGTTTCACAAAGACAAATGCCTGTTAAAAAAAATTTTACACAAACAAGTCCACAAAAAACAACAAAAACAAGACCTATTCGAACACCACCACCTACGGCAAAATATCGTATTCATGCATCAACATCTATGGATAAACGATTTTTTTCTCAACCACAATATAAAGGCAAAACACAAAATAATCCTCAATATAGACGTAAGTTTAATTTAATTTTTGAATTCTATATATCAATACATACATATATGTATATATGCATCATTATTATTAGAAATTATATCTCAAACATCAGGACCAACATCAAATCCACCAATATTAACACCACCAATAGGAAATACATTTTCAATGTCACGAAATAATCCTACACGTCGATCAACAGCTAGTATTCGTTCAACTCCAAGTTTACCTTATCAATATGGATGTTCAAGTGATCGTAATCAAATGCATACACCATTATCATTTCAAGAATCAATAGGTTCACATCGTAGTCAACGTACGGTTTCAGGTGCAAGTAGTTGTAGTAGTTTAAGTGTTGATATTGGTCCTCATTCAATTGTTCAACTCGATTCATCATCAAATATATTTCCATCATTTGATGAACAATATGATTTTGAAAAAGCTAATGAAGAATTTCGTCGATATCTTGAACTAGAAGAATTAGTTATACGTCGTCCATCATCTCATTGTTCAAATGGATCACCTTCTGATGACAGTACAATGCAACAGCAACAACAACAAGCACAAACTAATTTATATAAAAAAGAAATATCATTTTTTGATCGTATATCATGCACGGCAACAACTGGTACAGCAGTAGGTTATACAGAAATCGATGAAACAGAAAAAAACCTTGAAACATTTGGTAATGATGCTCTTTTAATGGCTTCGAATCTCAATGATAATGAATGGCAAATATAATATCATAATAAGAGGGGGAAAAGCAATAAAAAATAAAGCAAAAAAAAAAAAAGCAAACTACCTAACTTACTTCTATTTCTAAACGAATATTTGCATTACAATATAATCAACATTACATCAACCATTAATATAAACTAGCAGCTAAGCAACGCTCACATTCGTTATTTTTTTTGTTGGTTTGTATATTTTGTTTAGTCATCTAAAAATGAAGATCTTTAACACAACACACTTCTTTTTTTCACACACTTCAATTTTTTTTATAAAATATCTTCTCTATTTCTCAATAAACACCACGTTCTTATTTTATGATTGATCTCTCCTGACATCTGTCTGTTCGTGAGGTTTAAAGATCTATATTTTAGTCTCGTACAGAGTATCGTTTTGAATAGCTTCGTTAATAAATGTAATACACATTAAATCAAATATTTGAAGTATGCGGTCGCATTTACTACTTTGTATTGCGATTAATGAGAAAGATAAACTTCTTATGTTTTCGTGGGCATTGAGATTCATTCGATTGTATAGATTATCATCAAAGATAAACATTTTGCTATCAATTTTCAAATCTAATCTAAGGTTGTCCATTGTTTCATACAATCAAAATATTGATGAAGCAATAAGACTATTCGGTCATTTTGACCGTACATATACTACAATCAATATACACAATGAAACGAATACAATATGTTTTCATGTTTTTGTTGTTTGCAATGTATAAACTTCATATTTTTTACAATAAAATCATTATTTTAATTATTAAATATATATTACTCGTTTGCAGCAGTGTTTCTTATGATAGATGTACTCAGGAGAAACCAAATGTATAGAACATCTGATAGTTTTAATATACATGTTGCTTCAAATTTTGCTTATGAAAGCAGAAAGTACTCAATATATTTTTCTAAATAAAGTTATGTTTTATTTCCAAGCTGGTTAACGATAAATTTTTACGTACAAATAAATAGTACATGTCACTTATTCTATTATTTTCAAATACTCTAATTTTTTCTCCTATCTCTTCCAATCTCTGTATTTGATCATAGAAGACTACAAAAAAAAAGACATATAGTTTTCGCTTATCACCTTTCTATAGATTTTGTTTATCAAACGAAAAATTAGAAATTTTGTTTTTTATTACGCTATTAAAAAGCAATTCGTTGTTCTACACTCCTGCTTATGATAAAAAGTGACCAGATATATTTTGTGTGAAATTTCGATTAGAAACGTTGGTTTGCGGCCACATATGTACGAGCATATGTACCAAAAAACAAGAGATATAACAAAACGCAAGGCCAAAGAAAACCATATACAGCTAGTGTAGGAATAATACTGAGAGAGAAAAATAAGGCACTTCATAAAGAGAAAAAGTAAAGGAGCATTAATAATTATCAGTTTGCCGTTTTTCTTTCTTTTCTGATACTGTATGGTAGATATAATATTATCTTATCTATCCAGCAGTTGAAGTCTCACAAGACATAAGTCATTAAAACAAAAGTACAAAGCATGTCGTCATCTTCTTTATTTTGTCTTAGTATTACACTGTTAGTGCTAATACTAACAGTTGAATCAGTTTATTATGCATATTCATATGATAATGATAATGATAATGATAATGAAGAACACTGTTGTCTGGTGCGAATACGTGAGAACATCTGCGTGGCAAGACCAATTACACGTAGCTTAGTACAAGTTAATAAACAATGCCATCGATTTGATAGATCTCAACGCCATCGGTCTGGTAGAAAAAATAGAAATGATAAATATTTAGACAAGATTTTAAGTCGTTTAAATGTGCAAACATCACAAGAAGTTGGTGACAAAATACTTATTGAATTGAAGAATCCATTAGAAAAAAAAATACTTGAAAAGGATCTTATATGTTTAAAATCAACTAATAAAAATATGAATTTCGACAAATGTTATGTGGAAATAGTTGACGAATTAGACACTAATAATGATGATGACGATGATAGTGATGATGATGATGATCATCATCATCATCATCATCGCCATCGTATGTCACACGGAACGCATAGTAAAAATCTAATTTTCTTTGTATCACTCGAATAGAATTAATTTTTCTTTTTATTTTAGAATGTCGAGAACATGGTCATCGTCGTTGTCAACATCGTCATCATTATGATCGTAAAAAACGTGCTGATGACAAACATGAACAAAAAGAAGACAATCCCATTAATGATAAGAAAAATACTAAAGAAAATGAAGCTAAAAAGGAAAGCAATCAAATTGAATTAGATCAACCAGTTCGTATTCATGAAGGTCATGGTTTTTCAATTCGTCAAACATATAAAATTAAGCCTAATGATATTCGACCAATAAATCGTCAACAACGTCAATGTTTGTCATGGTATCGTAAACAAACACGAAAAATACGTCATAATTCATCGAAATATCAAAAATCTTGTATTAATTTATATGATCGTAGTGAAAAATGTATTAATCAACTTGTTTATAATACATTTAATACAAATGAAACAATTAATAATCAGCAACAAGAATATACAAAAAATTCTTTTCCAATTGGATCAAAATTATATTGTGAAAATCAAGCTGGTTATAATAGATTAATTGGTTATTATCATTATAAGGAAGTATGTTTTTATGCAGATGATCAAATTACTATTGAACATAAATTTACGGATATAACTGGTTTATCTGATATGGAAAAAAATAAAGAAACACTCGAATTTATAGCACGAAGTAAAAAATTAACCGCTGAATTTGAAGATGATTGTCATGACACAACAACGTTAGTTGAAATAGCTGAATTAGAAAAATCAACGATCAAAAAATTATCATAAACAATAAACTAGAAATTAAACATGAACATTAAAGTCCTTTTTATTTTTTGCATCTTTTTTTCTATTCGAATTTTTAAATTTTTAGTTAAAATAAAAGGGAAAAAGAAAAGTACGTAGTTGGAAATATTAATTATAATAATATTACATTTGACATGTATATTCGTGAAAAACAAAAAATTTCAACAGAAATTAAAATACCAAGTTCATGGTCAGAAAAAACATTTATTTTATTTTTTTTTTTTTTTTTTTTTTATTTTCACAGGAGTATATTAGAGGCGACAGCAAGAATA